TAAATCATTAAAAAGTCCTTCATTTATCAGAAAATGAGACGATGCTAAGGGAACTAGAGAGAAAGCAAAATCATTTTTCTGCGAATTAACGCACACTGGGTAATGATTTACTTGCATGCGCTTGTGAGATTTCAGCAAAGAGCTAAATATTCGCATGAAATGGTTCATTAAAACATATTTTGCTGTCGCATATTTCATTTTTCGGAGCGAAAATAAATGAATGAATTGCGACGGGGAAACTGAAAACATTTTCCGATGAAATTTGTAATGCCATTGAATGTTTGAGCCGTTTTTAGCAAGAGAAAAAAAGATGGAATAGAAATCGGATTGGGGCCGTTGAGAAAGGTAGCATGGATTCGTATCCAAGGTAATGAAATGGAAAAGTTTTTCCGAAATTACTAACCGCATGCTAAATGACGAACCGTTAACACAAATGCCGTACATTTGGGATAAAAATACATACATACTCACACTCGCAATGCTAAATGGGATGAGTGGCGGAAGCAGCAGCAACAGCCACGACAATGTCGACGGCCGGAGAGGCACACCCTTATATATATTTCTACCGCATGCTTTATGATTTATTTAATTTTAATGTTAAACGGTTTTCGCTCGAATGAAAAAAGCGCACCGACGAATTTTCTCCGGCAACGGAATGAAACTGATTCTTCCGAAACTTTGACAATAAACATTTGGTGTATTCGAAATGTCGACGATACAAAGAGCCGTAAAATGCTGAGGCGGAATGGGAGAAACAACACGCACACACACACACACACTCACCGCGTGTATACACACAGAGGAAAGATATGCGTTGGTAGAATGAAAAAAGTGTTGAGTTTCACACCTTTCATATTTCTTCCAGCGATTTTTGCCACCTTCAATTTATGCGTTAGCAACAATTTCACGTTCATTTGATATACGTTTACATATTTACACTCGCCTGACTTCCCCTGGACCAAAACGTCTCGCTCTCAATACGTATGTTAACTGGAAATTCATCTCATTTGCATTACAGCAGCTGAACACAACAATGAACAACGCACCATCGAATATTTGTTCTAATATATTTGGCTCCAATATTTTCCATCGCTCTCTTTCTTCGCTTTTTTATGCGATTTTTATTGGTCTGGTGAAAAATGTAATTCTTTTTAGTTCGTTGCACCTGCAGCAGTTCTTGGTTTGATGCTAAAAGTGAATTATCATCATTCTATCGATTTTTGTTTTTAACACAAAGGCAATTTTAACCAAGAGCCAATTTTGATGTGCGGTGATTGTTCGATAAAGAATTTCAGTCAGATGTATCATAAAAATATACACCGTCTGTCAAAAAGAACACCGAAGAGTCACCTTAGAAGACAGATGTGCTACCAATTTATTTGCAGCTTTTTTATTGCTTCGCATCGAAGCTGTGAGAACAATCTACACTGAAATGGAAAATAGTTTAAAAACACTGGATAACACGAGGATAATACCAAAGATTAACTCAGTTCTCACATGTAATAGAGTCACTGTGAAGTACGAAAAAGTTTAGCTCAAATACATTTCCCATATCATATCATTGTCGTCCGAAGTGAATAGAATGCCCGAGGACGAGCAGCAACAGCAAAAAATCGAGAAGTTTTTATCGAAAATTGGAATCGAATCAAATTAATAACTGTGTACGACATTCACTTGCCATCAGATCGATTTCTACTTGCTCTCTATTCATTTGTTTCAAATCTATCTATTTTTGCACTCTCGTATCCATGAAAATCCAGTGTATTCAGGCGCTTAGTATCAGAGCGGGCATTTAGTTTGGTTCAATCGTTTAAAAAAATCGTTCCAAATTGAAGCATTGTGTGCTTAAGAAAGATTGATTAAATAAGCTTGCAGGTGAACGGTAGTTGTGATGCCAGTAAGAAAACGGAAAACGCAAGAGCGAGATACCATGAAAAACTATTCAATACATCGTTTAACGGGTTTTGTATCGCTGGCAGGGTGACATTGGCACATCTCTAAAGTGGCTATCAAAATGAACATTGAAAGAGCGCATAGAAGATAAATGCATTGTGATTTTGTTACGGTTGATAGGTGCTAATCTGTTATAGCCAATGGTCATGCTCGTTGCATTTTTGTCCTTCATTCGCTCATATCATCGGCCCCGTTCAGTTTGCTCTTCCTCCTGCTTCTCGGCTCCCTCCGTTCAGTTTGTTGTGTATTGTGTGAGAAGTTGTCTCATTTAATCCCGATTAAAGTTTTCCTTTTCGGATCGGATTTCGATTGCTGCTTGAAAAGAGACTAAATAAAAAGCATCACAGTCTTTGTCTGTACGACTCTATCATCTGGTGCGCAATGATCCCCTCATTCGCTATGAATTATAGTTTGTACTTTGCGTTTATCGTCTCATTTCAAGCGAATCTCGCCAAACCATTTGGCGTTATTCTTTCTCTCTCTCCCTCTCCTTACCGCGCTTCGATTTTCCGAATGGCGATTTATTGCAATCCATAATGTTCTCTCTCTGCATCATCGTATTTGGTCAGTGATAGAGTTGCTTCATTTATTAAGCTTTCCGGATTGATTGCTTGAAACTGGTTCTTCTCCGTTTTTATTCCTTCCTCGCATTTCAAACATTCATTTTGAGCCGTTTTCGTGTTGTCAATCGACCTCGAACACTGCGGGACGGCCACGTGCAGAGCAAAGAAGAAAGAAAGAAAGAGAAAGAAAAATGTACGTAGCTCAATGTGATCGATATTGTGCGTGTATTATTAGGCAACCAGAAAGAGAGAAAGAGATTTGGCAACTAAATCGGCTACTGTGTATTACGTAGTAGCATTTCTGTCTGTCAATCCACCGTTCCAACCACCATATCTCTCTCCCGGCGAGAATGGAACAAAACCCAGGCGAGAGCAGTACATATGGCCCGAGAAGTCGTTAATCTTCTGGCAATATCTTAAATTCTTAAGCCATTATTTATAATGTATGAATCGATACGCAAGCGATAAATCTTCGTGTTTAACCCGTTTTCTGTAGTTCGGAAAATCGAAATTTATCACTTGATTATGTTGAAAGCGCTGCTTCCACCTGCGCTACCGTTTTCGGAATTCTCTTTTGCTTTCTCTCTCTCTCTAGTTCCACTCACTCTCGCCCTCTCGCCGCACAATCCGCATTGTTTTCATTTGCAGTGCAGCACGTCGTTCAAACCGAATTTGTAATTGTTCGCCAGCAAGAAAGGTGCAGTATTGGTCTAAATACCGAGTAATTGTTTTCAATATTATTGTGTTTAATTCCAATCTGCCCGATTTCGAAGGAGCTGCCGTTTATTTACAGTCCAATGAATGCATCAATTATTTCGACAACGCAAAGCACGCTCGAAATGCATTTTGCGATTTGCTGCTAACTGCTCATTTTCTCTTTCTATCCCGGACGCTCTGTAGCTCATGATGCTGCATAAATTGCCACCTCAAGTACAATATGATTCAATTTATAAAACCTGATTGGGACTACGCTCCGGTTTAAATTATTGCACATTCATTGTCGAGGTTCAGTTCGGCCAGAGTTGTTGGTGGTTTTTCTCTGTTTCCACGATTTTTCACGTGTATACATCGTAATTAGAGATAGAGAGTGAAACTGCAATGAGTTCTAATCAGAATTTGGATGGCCACAGATATTTCACACCATTGAAAGCACACAGATAACCATGCCAATAATTACGCGAATGCGATACGCTTTATCGATTTTACCCGGTGCGGTTTACACAAACATTTTTTTTCGGAGTAGACTAGCACGGGTGTGTGTGCTGCATCACATAATTTGGTTAATAAAACCTCGTTTAAAATCAATTCCATTGGCAGTATCAATCAATATATTTCAATCCGAAACCGCTGCACATTAGTCAGGCCACACCTCAATTACTTTCAATTTTCGCACAATGCACAACGTTCGTTCGTTCGTTCACTCATCTCCATCCAAATCCCGCCATCCAAATTTAATGAATACAAATTAATATTTTATTTAGCTGTAACCAAATAATTACGGCAATCATTTAGTCTCTCTCTATTGCACTCGCCCAGCGATTCATTCGCTCAATCGCATCAGTCAATTGCATGCGTGCAGTTTGTGATATGTCGTCCACTTCATCACGTTTGAACAAGCCACAGGACACTTGTGCTTATTAAACTGGATGCAGCATAGAGAGAGACAAAGAGAGAAAGTGAAAAAGCGGCCCGTGGTGACTGATGACTGTTGAGATTTGAGGTTGGCAAATCAATGCTTGGTGTCAATTGCATTCGACCAACAATTGCAATGACTGATTTCAACTCGTTGCCTTTCCATTGATGCAATTACGCTCTTCATTGGTTCCCATTTTTTTGCTCGCACGTCGCTAAATCCAATTGTTCCACCACTCCATTTTGCTTTAACTAATTTCAATCGCTTTTTTTTCTCGTTCACGCCAAATTTCATTTGGACGCTATATCGCTTTGAAAGCACATTATCACCGTCATTCATTGGAATCAAGTTAATGAATTAAAATAAACAGTTTCGTTTTTGAACGGAAAATTGCAATAATCACTCTTCAGTCGGATAATAGTAATCCATTGACAGTCTTTTAGATGTTCGAGTGCTAGCTCGTGAGATGTTCTATGCGTTGTGTGTGTGTCCCTTTTTTGCTTGCCTTCTCAATATGCTGGAAATGATGAGCAGGCTAAAAGTGTGTATTTGCTCGTGTGTCGAGCTGGGGAAATGGTGGATAATGTGCGCACAAGCGATGCTGTTTCCAACAGAAAGCCGTCAAATATGTTCCACAGTAAGAAAACGTTGACTTTATTAGCACATTGGAATATTGGAAATGAAAAGCACAATTCTCCTTTTGTGCTTATGAATAAATTCGAGCGGTATCGGCTCCGCTAACAGAGAATACAGCCGGAAAACCAAAGCATGTGTGTCGCTGCTGACACTGCTGAGCGTGTGAGACTCCGAAAAATGAAGATATGAACATTGTCTCTGCATAAGCGATACTCAGTTGTGAATTATCGAGTGTTCGAATCACACGTCCCATCAAGGTATCACACGGTCGAAACTGTCGAACGTCTCAACCGCGCCGTTCTCTATATAAATATACGTAGGGAAACTTCGGACACATTCATTGTTGCAATTGATAGTGTGTACAAAGTGAAACGGACATTTATAACGGTAACTTCAATGGGACTCACTGAGATCGTGTATATTTGATGAAATTACGGTGTTTTGTGCGATTGAGTTGATTTTTCGGTTCAGAAATTTCAAATCTTTTGACCGTTGGTTCGGTTTGATCGCTAATAGCAGGGGAAGAAAAAAATTATGTAAGGCATTTATTTCAATATTCAAAGAGAAAAAAGAATGAAAATTCGGTGTAAATTTTGGTGTGTGTGTGCATGAAAAAAGAATGTGTCAAAAAGTGAAAATTAATGAAGAAAATTGTGTGGGAGCTGATAGAAAGGCGCATAAAACATTTTTGAATTTAGCTCATAGGATCAATTGGATGTTAATGAAAAAAAAAGGAAGTTAAGCGCGTAGATTTGCAGAACAAAGGAGCTTTCCATTCAGTCGTTGTGCCATTGAAAATTAGTGCTTTTGAAATTTGGCTCAATACACATCAACTGTGGCATGGTTCAAGTGAATTTGTAGTGCGGAACTAAAAGAGACGTGAGAACCAAACAGAAGGAGAGAGAGAAAAAAATTACGAATTTCGCCTATTTTCGCAAGTTGTTCAAGGCTCAGTAACCAACAAAAGCAGCAAGTAGCAGTTGCTAAGGGCGCTTTGTGATCTGGATTACAAAAATATCACACCATAAATTTTCGCAGCAAAAACCATTTTTAGATTTCAGTTTCTCGACCGAATGAAAAGGATCTTTTTCCGAAGTTTTCAAACGATGATTATATTATATTATGCCATTGAAAAACGTGCCAACAACACACTTAATTGCTACATGGAAGCAGCGGAAAACTTCAGATGGTAACATGCATATATAGATTTTAACTAGATCAAGTGCCATAAACACACAAAAGAAATTAGTGTTTAACACAAAATTGCGCTTGACGTCACCAAAAATTGAACAAATTGGTAATTCTTTAGTGGGGCGGAATGGGTCGGTTGGTTGATTTTCAATCAAAAGTTTCCCAATTTTGACGCACTATTATTCATGAATACGTGTCAAATGCTTTAATTACTCATTACGCATCAATCACACTAAATTCGATTACAATTTGGTTGTTGTGGCGTGTTTGTTGACGGGCGAACGATCGTTTGGTCGGCGATAAATCGTGGCACACAGTGGAAACTGATGAAGGAGCAAAATTATTCTCAAGACATTTGATTTGTCTCGTATGGTGGACGCGGCACGAATACAAATTAATTATTAACATGGGAGATTGTTGGGTATCCATGCTACTTGCAAACGATTCATTCACAACGCGTACATTTCGGCTGTGTTACTACCATACTGATGCTGATGCTTTGCTATGGATATTTTTGATGAGTTTCGGTATATTGATACATTGTACTATAGTTTAATATATATGTGGATGATTGTTGTCGGGGCTGGAATTTGGAGCGCATAATGTACGAAGCGTTTGTTTTTGGCTCACATCCTATCGATTTTGGATCCGTTCATATGATTGATTAAAGACCGTGAAGCACGAATTATTTCAATTTCCAACAAAAGTAGCAGCAACAATATCGACTCAACATTAACGTGATTAATCCGATCGCCCCTAAACAGTGCAAGCAACATCAACCAGACTATAATGATGTTCGATTTCGAAACAGAAAAAGAAAATAAAAAAAAAACTTTCCGTCAATCGCACAAGCTCAAAGAAACTAAAACAAATCACACACGCACACACTATCGCCTACGATCAAAGCTACGAAACACTAAAATATTCCGTTTATGCTTTGTGCACGTATATTTCGAAATGGATGCGGAATGTTTTGTTCAGAATAATCTTATCGTAAAATATAGATACATAATTCCATTCGGTTATCCGGTTAAAGCATCTGAATCGAATTTTATTCGGCGAGAAGACGATAGAAACCGAACCGATGCGGCGCGCAAACACATTTTGCATAGAGGTCCAAGTCCAATACAAAGGTCGAATATTAACATTATCGATCGCAAATAATTCACAAGACATATTTGTTCCGTATGTATATATCTATGTGGTGCTGGTGCTGGTGCTGGTGATGCAAACATAATCCGTAAATGTGTATCGTTTTGTAGCCAGACGCGAATCATTTCTTTTTCTGTATTCTATTGTGTATCATGTTTATGACAGAAAACGATTCAAAAGCAAAACGACTATCTCGTCCTTGCTCACAATCGCCAATCGGCCCAATTTTCGAACAAAAAAAAAAACCAATGTTATTCTTTTCATTTCCAGTTATTTTTTTTCTCCTCACCGATTGCGCACACATTTCAAATTCTTTCAATTCATAAATTCAAAACAAATAAACAACACGAGAAACACACACAAACCAATAAAAGACAGAAAGAAACTGATGCGAGATGAAGGGAGACAGAGCCGAAAAAAGGCACACATAAAATGTCTTCTTCATGTCTAATCGAATAATACGCTTCATTAACTTAGGAATGTACCCAACAGAAAAGAAAATTGTGAGTATTTTGAATGGAGTCTATAAATGTGTTGGTGTCGATGGTACAAACAATTCGATTTAGTTCGTTTCTTCCCCCTTGTCTTTGTTTCTCTCTCTGAATTCGTTCAAATCGACACCACCAAACGAAAAAGAGAGCAAACAAAATACTAGGAAATTATTAAGCTACCAAAACATGAAATAAAATTGGTCGCTGCGACCAGTCATAAAAAGCTACAAGTTACGAAGCATTTCCGGTCCCCTCGACGCTCCTCTCATTCCACATCGATAGCTATTCAAAAGATGACAGCTCAAATAGATAAAACATTTTCGCTTGTTCTCGTTCCGTACTTTTTCCACTGAAAACTGACTGAAATCATGATCGCATGGCATTCGCATAGGCAGCACTCATACCAACAAACATACCAACGCTCGTTCACTGCGCACAACAAAAACAAAACTTCTATCGAATTTTAAACGTGAACAAATCAAATATCAGAAATTTTTGGGAATTTTGTGCAAACACGCGCCCAGCGCAAAAATGTCGAAGCAATAAAATAGCAGCGAGAGCACTCAAGACATGTACATCATGTGTCTGACTTTGTTTGTGTATGCGTGATATGCCCGAAATTGCAAGCTATCGCATTCACACTTTTTCTTCTGTTTGGCTTGATATGTCAGCTTCACATTTCGTATAATTTTTTCGACACGCTTTCATATTTTGATACTGCTCATTGAATCCATACGACGCTAATGATTTTTTTGTCGTCGAATGTTTTTTTTTCTCGAAAGGATTTCAATTCGGGCCGTCCGCAGTTCGATTGGCAAACAATTTTTGTTATGCCTAGCCACAACAACGCAAAATATTTTTTCTGCGATCTCATATTTTTCTCATGAAACATGATGCCAATACACTTTCCTCGGAATTTTTGTTTTTGTTTTTCTGTCTACGACTCGGTCATAAAAAAGCACAACAAATTCTGCCATCTTAAACATTGATTTCAGAAAATTTTTCTACGCTCAAAAAAAAGAGAATTGGATAACGATATGTACACGGTTCTGTTTTTCTCTCTCTCTCTCTCTCTCTCTCATTGGCGCGCACAAACAATAGTCGACATAAAAATTGATGTTTCATTGAAGAGTAGCGAAAAAAGAGAGCCAAACATCATGCGTTTAATAACTTGGAATTCCCTACGCAAATAAATGAAATTACCAATTTGTTGTTCGCTTAAGTTTGGGAGTCGAATCTGCATAGGGTAAATCGAATAAGGACGGAATATGAACCAAAACAAAACGCACGCGCACAAACTCAATGGTCTATTTGAGATGTAGTGCAAGGCATTACACTTGAAAAAGATTTCATATTTTTTGATGACCTCTCGACGAGCTTACTTCGGCAAGCTGCTTTGCATTCGATTTAACTCGTCAGACCCACTCGCAAAGCAAACTTATTGGTTAAGTTACAGTGTGTTTTCCTCGAGTCAGCCAAAAAAAAACAACTTCAATTGAATGTTGTAACCAATATTAACAAACATTTCCGTTTTCCGCGAAATAGGATCGCTTGTGGAAGAGCGACACATACTAAAGCCCACAGAAGTATGCACCAGTTCATCGACGAGGACGATACAAATGAGTTTTTTTTTATCGGAGTTGTTCTCGCTCTCATCTTAACCTCCTTTCCCTTTTCATCTTCTCTCTCTCTCTCTCTCTCTCTCTCTCTCTCCCTCTCTCTCTCTCTAAAATGGGATAGCCGCAGAGTCGGGAAAAAAAATTAGCGCAGCAAGTTTGTTCCATGTTCGTTGTGAAAATAATTTTATGAACATTACATAGCGCGAGATAGATTAGAACAAAAAAAGAAAATGAAATTTCGGTAATTTGAATAAAACATCCAATTTATTTCTCACTCGATGATGAACACAACAATTTTTTCGGTTCAATTTTTCTTCCTTCGTTTGTTCTTTGTCGTCTTTATCTTTTTGCTCTCAATTGTTATGTGCCAGTTTATTTTGTCAATTTCAGTTGGAAATTATGCGAGTGATGTGCACATTTTGAGTGGCATCGTCTCATTATTTTTAATCGCAGCAATTTTATATTTTCAATTTCACTATCAAAATTTTTTTTTTGTGTTATGCCGCATTTGGTCTTGGTGGAAAAAGAAGTAGAGAAAAACCAACCAACAAGGCCTAACCACCACCGAGATAAGTAGCAAGATGAAAAATGTTACGATAGCAAATGAAGAACACCCGCTAGATGTGTTGCTCTCTTGAACTGGAGGGAGCAGAAACGATATGACTAATCTTTATCATGCAATGAACTTGCTCTCAACAGCTTTGATCGTGTGGCTGTGTTGTGTTGTGGCTACAATATAATGACCTCGCATTTGCACTAGAAATACCAGCCTGCCTGCCAGTCAGCTATCAAACAACGTTACTAGCACAAAATACGGCCGAAAAAGACTCCATCTCTCATTTATATTTCTTATTTTTCTCTCTCATTGATGTGACTTCTTCTTTTTTGCTCGGTCTTCATTTTGAAAAATGAAATATTTTTCGCCGCTGGAAACCGAAATGCTCACTGTGCGTAGTAGTACCACGGGTATAGCAGGCGCAGAACCACAACCACAAAACAACAAAATCATCCGAAATGAAATTAATTGCAAATAAAACGTTTTGTTGGCTCAAATCGAGCTCAAAATAAACGACCGCATCGAACCCGATTAACTGAGCAGTCATCGTTAATTTCCATTCTAATAAAATTAAATTATTTTGCGAGCGAGCGCGTTAGTGTTGTCAAACATCAATTGTCCGAGTAAATATTAGTTTTAGGTAGGAAAATGATACGCTTCATTTGGTGTACGATATACGCTTACAGCCCGGGAGAGTGCGGGCAAAGCAACTGCTCAAACACACATACACACACACACACGGAAATATAGGGAGTGAGAGTGTGAGAGAGAGAATGTGAGTAAGATTTCAAATTAAGCAACCGAGAAATAATAAAATTTGCATAAAATTTCATAATGGGCGTGTGAAAAGTGTGCTTTAGGTCGCCCTAAGGAAAAGCATTTGCCGTCTCTATGTTTATCGAAAGCAATGCGAATGTGCAAAGCTTAGCGACACTTCATGGCTTTCAGGCAGCGGCCCATAATGAAATAAATATCACCGAACCGTCGGTTCGTTCTGTTCTGCTGCGAGGGGGAGAGGTTTGCGAAAGAGTTGATTTCGGTTTTCGTGCCGCCGGTACAGGTTTAGTCAGTGTTGGTGTATTTGCAGATTGGAATGTGTATTTTACGACGCGACCATAATGAATATATATTAGGAGTTTCTCTTTCACGGCGAAAACACCATTCGCATTTCGTTCACACACACAAACAGTTAAACTGCGGCGTCCCGTTTTCAGAATAAGTAATTAAGTTGGCAATTTAACCGCAACTCCAAATAAAATCATCTACAAAGATGCAAAGATTATGTTCGGATTTCGTGCGAACATGCGATGCTAAACGTTTCGATATTAACTTACGATCTCCATTAAATTATCTAGTTTGGGTGGCTTTGCTGCTGCTCTCGATAAGATTTCTTTGGCATGCTCGCATTGCATTTGTAGATACAGCTTTTTTTTCCTGCTATTTATGTCGTTGCCACCGACGCGATGGATGCATCTTATTGAGAGTAAATCCATTTACGCGCCTTCGTTTACTTCAAGAGAATTCGGTGGAGAAAAAGTGTTCAATGACACAGTCGAGACTGAGTCGATGAGATCAGTGAGTATTTTGGGCCACTTTGCATGATAATATGTAGATGACATTTCTGGCGCAGCAGACCTTTTCAAATAGCATTTCTTCGAGTGCAATGGAATAACGAAAAAAAATAATCTAGATTTTCACATGCGATAATATACTTTATTCATCTCCTGTGTCTCGGCTCAGTGGCATATTTCAATTCAAACAACAACAAAAACTCTAACCGAACCGAGTCTAATGTCATTTTTATTAGGCTACTTTGTCTAACCCTTTTATTTGTTTGCATTGGATTTTTGTTGAAACTTTTTGAAATACGTTCCATTCGGATTGTGCGTTGGAGAGAGACGGTTGCTAGCGGGGAAAAAATCGTATCTATGCAATGACCCAAATGTGATACACTTTGAACGTCATTCGTCATTATGAAAAACTAAAAGCAGCAGTAAGCCAAAAGTTTCGCTCCCAACAAAAATTAAGCACTTCTATCTAAATTCGTAAATCTAATGGAGAAATTTTCAAAATTCTCTCTCGCATCGCGTAAAATAGTATGTCGGCCAGGGAGTGATGATGCCGTACAGAAATGACTAATATTCGCCCGAAATAAAAATTGGACAGAAAAAACCGTAAGGCATGCCGAGAATGTTATCATGATAAAATATCACGCAGTGTATAAACAACCCAAACACATTCCAGCATTATAACAGACGATAAAGGCATAGCGTAGACTGGGATGCTACGAAAGAGAGAAAAACACAACGAAAGAATGTACGAACGCACAAAATATAACGCACACAGAGGATATATTATTATATGCGAATTGAAAGCACCCCAAAGTGAAATAAAACGGAATAAACCGAACGTATTTACGGAATAGTAAAAGTTCGTAAAGTTTTTCTTATTGTTTGGCCTTTGCACTGTTGTTGTGTTATCATTGCTGAATGATCGCATAGCGAGACCAACCGTTTGCTTCTTTTTATTCCCACACTCTTTTCGGTCGGCATCATGTGAAAATGGCTGTGAAACACGCAGCATCCATTTTTCGGGCTATGTGTGTGACCTTTAGGCTGCAACCTTGTTTAGTATACAATTATTATTAACCATAATGGAGTCGTTATTTATGTATAGTGAAAAATAGTTTGGCATTCATCGAAATATAAGACCGAGAGTCGGCTCGAATTACGTTCCCTAGTCCCATCTCAACATCAATATCAATTGGGATATGGGATGGTGTACACCATTCATTTTGATACCAGCGCAGATAAAACGACCGCAGCATCCAATTGATCTCACAATTTTGTTCTTTCTTTTTGTTTCAATTAAAAATTAGTGCGGCTACATGCGAATTGAAACCAATTTTCAGCTCCCACGCAATTTGATTAACGACCAACAAAAAAATTTCGTCCAAATATTTTCAGTTAGAGCTTGAAACCAGTCCAAAAGTCATACACACAGTATTCAATTAAACGGTAAACTGAAAATATACAATGGAAAAAAGTGGAACAATGAAACATAAACGTAGAAATAGTGTTTGTGCACAAGATAAAAATAAATGTGAAATTCGACAACCAACATCGAATACGTAAATCGTATGAACAAACGAGATAGAGAGATGAGCGAACATTTTCACAGTGGTATAAATTTGAAATCACAGCTACATATTATTCATAAAAGTTGTTTCGACGATCAAAATAAAAAAGAGGTCAACAACAACAAACATCCGAACTAGTTTGAATGTGATCAAGTGAATACGGTTTAACGAAACATGATGCATATAACAGATGGATTACCAGCTCTGTTCATCATATTTTATTTGAAATTTTTTGAAGGTAAGTACATGCTTTATGCAACAAACATTTTTTTTTCCACTCTTCCATCAGTTCCATTAACGTTCGTTCGCAAAAATGCGAGATAAAAAAGAGATTTTGAGTGTGCATGTGCATCGCTTCAGTGTGTTAAAGTTTTCAAAATGAATTTAATAAATCAGTTTGTGAATGAACAATGAACATACATGTTTGCATTTTTGCAAATTCTGTTTTTTTTTTTCAGTAGTTCGACGAGTGAAAAATTCCAGGAAGCCATTTCTATAAAACATCGCTGATAAGCAGAGAGTTTGCAAATTGCATTTTAAATTCGAAATTCGACGAAATGGCTAACATTGTTTTTTTTTCTACTGCAGATTATACAACCACTTTATTTCCATGCGTCGAGATTTTAATGCAAGATATGTATGTGAAATGAATGAGCTTACGAAGAATATTCCGGTACACTGATTAGCTTATTCTTCGACAATATGTTGAAATAAACGGGAAATATGCCGGAAATTGATTTGAAATGAAATCTCGTATTTTTCTCTCCATCAATGAGGTTTTTAGGTCAGATTTTTATCACTTCATAAAATAAAATCGAGTTTGCTCGGGATAAAATGAGTCATTGTTTCGGCGACGGCGACGACTTTTCAAGCATATTTGCCGTTCGGGCTATAATTTGCTTGCAAATCAGCATGAAACCATTATAAATTGTTCGTTCTAATTGCATTCATTTGTTTGGTTCTCATTGTGTGTTCAATGTGGCAAAAGGTCGGGTTTGCATGCTATGGAATGTGTGTGTGTATGAAAATGCCGTTGTTCGCCATTAAATTAATTAAAATCCGTTCTATTCCATATTTTTCAACACAAATTTTCCCAAGTGTTACACGATATCATCCAAAACAAATTGAAATTCATCCGTTATTTCGTTCATTTAATTATTATTTCTTGCGAAAGCACTCTACGAGCAATACATGCACGGCACCATACACTCAGAGCGTGAGAGTGGTGCGAAAAGTAAGCGAAAGCCAAATTCAATTAAATAAAATGTGAAACCGTATATGAATCCCAACCACATTTTTGTTTAACCAAATTATGCAACAATAACATAATGAATGAGTCAAGAAATCCAGTTTTACCCAACACTACCAGCACCATGGTCATAAATAAAAAAATTTCCCCACACACTCATATAAAACTGCACCGTATAAAAAGAAATGAATAACGATGTTTAAAAAGGAATCACACTCAAGGTAGAGAATGTGAGAAGAAAACAAAAGCGACGATATTGTTGACGTCATTGTTGTTGCCGTGGTTGGTGTTCGTCGTTTTTTCTTTCTTTTAGCTGGAAAATATCGTCTGTTTACTTTTCGCCAGTTTGTATTTGCCGAGTGTGTATTTTGACTTAATCAAAAACTGTGCAACCGAATAATAGCTTTACGCCCGCAAAGGCGAACGAACCACCAATTTATGGAGAACAACAACAGAGAAAAAAAAATGAAGAAAAAAAACCAACCGACAACAAGACAGACACAAATGCAAAATTGTTCGGAAAGGAGCAAATATTTTACATTATTTTACATTCCCAGCACATTTTATCTTCTAGAGCTTTCGGTTATTCTCTCTCGACACCATTCCATTCCAAGCAACAACAGCAACAGCAGGGTAGTAGTTTTGGTTGGTTGTCTTCGGTCATTGCGAGCTCGAACGGTATTCGTTGCCGAGCGAATATTGTGTGTGTGAGTGTGTTCACGATAGATTTGCGTTTTCATTCGTGTACAATTAATTTTCCAGTGTCTGCATTTTTCGGCACTCTACTTTATTATATATGAGTCTCTTTACCTAAAAAACATTATGACCGACTATAAATTCGAGACAACCACAGTCGTTGATGAAGAGAAAGCACCCAGGCACACGCACACACACACACAATACATTGTGTTACCAAAACCAAGAGAAAGTGAGAAAGCACCGACTCGACGCTCTGTGCAACCAACTAACGTTGGCCGTAATAAAATATTTTAATTACCGGCGGCGAAAAATTATTATTCATTATCATTTCAAAATACATTGCAAATGGCAAATTGGCGCGTACGACACACTGAAAAAAAAACGAGAGGACTCCACTCTTTTCTCGATTGTATAACTGAAAATAATTTTCATTTTGATCTCTGGATTTTCATTTTTTTTTCAGCGGATATGGTCACATATTCATTTTCGTTCGTTCATCGTTTTTGTTGTTTACCAACTGCAGTTTTTAAATTGCGGAACTTGAAAATTCATTCATGAAAAGCGTGTTTTTTTCTGCACATTTAATTATCGAATGCATAAATCCGTTTTTCTCTCTTCGTGTGTTTCAGATATCGTTCGAACGGCTGCCGCCGCTGCTGTTGACAATAATCGCATCGAGCCAAATATGTCGTTGCACCCGTACTTTGACTTCGATGTGCCGCGAAATATCACCGCACGTGTAGGCCAAGTAAGTATTTTGTGTGCTATCACTTTTTATGGATTATTTCGAACTCAGAACGTTTTATATTTTTTTTCTTGCAGACAGCATTTCTGCGATGCCATGTTGAACAACTGGGCGATAAATCGGTAAGTCATTTTAAATTATGGAAAAAAAAAACTATTGAGTCTCGAGTCTTGTGCCGCATTGCCTTGTTTTACCTAAAAAAATGATTTATTTGGAACGACACCACCTGTAAATTCATTCGCGAAGAGAACTTTAATGAATTTTTCAAAGACACATGCTCATTTTCACGGAGGTAGAAAAATGGTGCGATGAATACGAAAAATGATATGCTTTGCATAACGAATGGAAACGAAGTCAACTTTAATTGCATCACAATCGAGGTGACATCAGCAGTTTAAAAAGATACTAAGCATTTGTGTGTGTGTCTTTGTTCATCTAAAGACGCTTGGCAACTGCCATGCCGACGAATGCTCAGTGTGAAGAAAGAGTCCATTTATGTTTGAGAACAATTTCGGATTGATCCGCATATAAAAAGAGCGAAAGCGATAAAATTGAAGTTTGCTAGTGGATTTTGTAATGAACATACGTATGTAGTTCATCTAATAAACGCCTTGAAAAGAAAAAAAGGACCGAATCGTAGCGATGCTCTAGTTGAGTGGGCACATCGACGACGACGACGACGACAAACAATTTACCATCAACATCGTCTATTACGTTGTCGACGATGACACGCGTGTGTTCTTTTTCTTGCTCTTGTCTTTCCTCCCGTACCATCGTATCCATTTTTACCAAAACAAAAAGAGGAAGAAGAAGAAGAAGTAGAAAAAATTCATCACATAACACGATGTCGTCTGCTACCTCATTATTATCTCAGTTCAGTAAACACATGTAATGTAAATGCGAATCAAATGTGAGCCAAGAAGGAGCTCACACGCAAATATGCTCCCCATAAACTCAAAAGAGGCAGACGAAGAGAGTACACACTTCAGAACACAAACGCAAACGGGAGGGAGAGAGGGGAGAGTGTCAAGCTGTCAAGTGAAAGTTAGCGAAGTTGATGCTTCAAATCGATGTTTAATTTTCTACCGTGCAAATGATAAGAAGTGAGAAGAAATTGTTTTTATTCGCTTCCCACAGGGTTCTACTTCGCGAAAGCAATTGATATTCCAGAAAGAACAAATATACGGGCTTCGTACACGCTCTCTCTCTCTCTCTCTCTCTCTCTCTCTCTCTGTCATACAAAGGGAGTAGCACACCCGAGTGCCGAATTACATGTTCAACTTTATTGATAGAATCCACGGAAAAATGGAACTGATTTTGTCGCCGCGAATTCAAACACGCGCGTGTTGTTTCATTTTCCGAGCAACAAAATTAAAGCGAAACCATGGAAGAGGATAAGAGAGAGAGAGAGCTGAGAGTCTTGTTGTCAAATTAATTTTAACGCTATGTCGTTTCTTATTTCGCATCGTGTGTGTTCTATTTGATATGGTACAAGTAATTTCAGGCGCTTCTCGCTTGTTAATACGATTAAAGGCAACAACGTAGAAAGCCTCTCATTCCCATATAATTTACAGACGAGCAGGCATATACACACAGAGAGTTCTTTTATTTCGACAACAAGATTTCAAACGATGTTACAGTCAAACCGAACGACATAATCCATAAAGAATTTGCAAGCGTACATTCGAAGACGAAGCACCACTAAAACAATCTCTTCTTTTCCTTTTGCTTTCGAAGAGTAACAGTGAAAAATAAATCCATTATTACAGTTAACTGGAGATAAAGAAAGAGAGGAGAAGAGACGAGAAAAAACAACATCGAGAAGAGAGCAAGTCCTTCAGGTGAATGCTGAGCATGAAATGAATGTGAGATTAAAAAAAACCCAGCTATCACGATGGGAACATTCAAAGGAAGCGTGACTTCATTTTACATCCGTACATTTTCAGTTTATGCGTCGCATTTCCGCATTGAGCGCTCGAAATGTGCAGCGAATTAAAATCATTTTCATAGATTACAGATTATTTATTCGGAGCATCTGTGACTCATTCGCCACAGAATCTGTGGCATACAGACAATATTTTTGCTATTGCTTCGAAAAACACGTAAAATTCCAAAAATGCACTCAAATACTTTGCTACAAATTCGAATTGTTTGTCCGAAATATTTTGTCGAAATTCGGAAAGTAAACAAAAGTCCATGTTGCCGTATTTTACGCAGCATTATTCACAGAACACATCACTTATCGTGATTGTTTACGGTTTTCGGCAATGTTTATCTCAAAATTATACATTAAAATTGAATTCTGTGCATTTTCGCTACCTCGTTCCCAATTCCAACCATAATATTGGTTGGACCAATTATGCTTGGTCGTTTTTCATTTGTCAAATATTTCATTTAGTAATTTGCTATGCAAGAGAATGCATACCGAAAATGTATTTGTTGAATGCTCAGCGTAGCATAATGCTAGTAGCATTCAAACGATTTTCTATGGTAATAACGAATCAGCAATCAGAACATCCTCTTACACACCGAGCAACAATCGTCTAACAAAACGTCTTTGTTCAATGATTTAAATCACAAATGCTAAGAGTTTCATTTAAGACACAGATGCAAAATTGTAGAGAAGATGAAAGAAGAGAGAGAGAGGGAGAGAGGGAGAGAGAGAGAAGAAGGGAGAGAAAGGGAAGCGAGAAAAGAAAAACACTTTGAATGTTTGATGTGAAGTCCGAATTGTGCAGACGACAATTTTCTTCTGACAAAAGCTCCAAATTGTTTAAGTTGGATCGCCTTTTATTTGTAATACATTTTGATGTTTTCCTTTTATGCACTGAAATCGATGTCATAAAATCGATTTCATTTATTCATCGACAGCACAATGAAAACGAACAACAGATATCGGTTGTAAAATCCATAATAAATCGAAAAACTCGACTGACACACAGAGCACATACAAAAAAAATAACCTGATTGTCGGACAATAAAAAAATGGAGTGTCTTAATAGGAGGAAACTCAAAGGTGTGGATAGAAGGCATCTAGTTAGTCGAATAAGTGTATATGTATGCCATAAAAGGTGATTCTGTGCGGAATTAGGTGTGCCCAATTTACGTAACAAAATTTGATTTATTCCAGAAGTTTGATCGTAAAGGTAAAAATACGGGTCACTTTGAATCCCATATTGCTTTGAAATTGGCACTTATCATCGAGTTTTCCCGTAGTTTCTTTCCCGGAAATATGGACTCTACAGAGGCTTAAAATTGAATGAAAACATGATAAAAACGAGATTGTGCCCTCTCACCGCAAAAAAAGATGTCGATGATGAAAAAACCGTATGAATAGAAGTGAAACCTTTCGTCAATAAAAATGAAGTAGTCCATTTTAACAACTAAATTCTTTTCCGGGAAACAAGTGCTCAAACCATTCGACCAAGCTATTTCCGTTCATTTTTATTTCCCCTCGCAAAAAAAATGTTCTTGGGCAACGAAAAAAAAGTGAAAAGATTCGTTTTGGCATACTATTAGGACTGTTGACATTCATATTTAATGGTAAAATCGGATGCTGTCGGAGTAAAAAAAGAGAGAGAGAGAGTAAGCTTTTGCTATGACTGCAAGTGCATTTTAGTGCCCGTATCCAATTACTGTAAGCCGATCGAATGAGTTTTGTGAAGTGATTTCGCATGCAAAGTGATAAAATTGTGTTATTGGACATAGATGGAAAAGTAAATAAATTATGAACGAACTCAATTTGAATACTCTTACTTTCTCTTGACGTCAATTTTGTGGCATTCTACCGGGATATCGACCCGGTCACATAGAACAATATGAAACCAAAACTTATATACACTTTTTGTGCTGATGATGATAGTCTGAAGAAAATGGCGCAGTATTATTCTGTTGAATGAGGAATGATAATGTGTGCTTGGTTCTTCTTTCATTCTAAATCATCATTTCGTATGCACGTCAGAAAGTTTGTGTGGGTGTGTGTGCTGGGGCTGTGGAATTGATGATTAGACATGTGAACATTCGATCGTTGAACCTGTCGCCATTGAGCCAGAATATTTACAATAACGCCTTTAAATAGCCGCAAATTGAGCAAAATATTCATACACACTGAGCTTAAAATAACGTTTTGAATGCAAAGCCATACAACTTTGTCGTCTCTTCCACTCGGTCAATCCATTCGCAAAGACGACAAGCATTTAAGTATGTAAATCGCTTGTTAAATTTTTATGAATACGTACACATGGTGTGTGCATTTTGTGTACGAATACGACTTGACTGGTGCCGAACAACAATGGCGTCCAAGTGAGCGCGCTCACATCAAGATTCATTGAGAAAGGATCATATACCATCTCTGAATGATGGTGTGTGTGTGTGTGTGTGTGTGCAAAGGCATAGAAATGGCCTCTCTCTCACTCACTCCCCTACTCTCTGAAGTTTGGCGCGATGCCGAGAGTTGAGTGAGTGAATGGTTGTCTAAGTTTTTGATAAGGTGAAACTGGCTTAGGTGCGAATCAGCTTGCATGAACGGAGCTCACCAAGGGTAGAAGTGTGTAATGCGCTTTATTCATAAATAATGAGCAATGAATGGCATGGACCTCCTACGCCCATGCATAAGGGTTCTCTGAATGAACGCTTCACCACAAGAGATGAATTACATTTCAAGGCTTTTTTCCACTCACCCCTATGCTCTTTTACTCTCCCTTTCTTTCAATCCCTCGCACTCTCTCTTTTTTTCATTCCCTCACACACTCTCTCCACCTCTCACTCTGTTTCTGTTTCTCTTTCTGTCTCTTTTTCATTCTCTCACTATATGAAGCGTCGCTCCACATGTCAAAATATTCACATCGTAGCATGTGATCTTGGTGCTGCCATGTTATGGCCTGTAATATGCTTTAAGTATATTTTGTGATGTTAAACAAATCGCATTGCTATTTATGCGTTCACATGCTCAACTTCACATGGCGCTTTTTTCTGGCCGCATATTTTCGCATTTGCTATTTCCGGCATAATCGATCTGTGTCGTGTACGTTGTAATCGCATTTGCGCCTAAAAATGGCGAATCTGAATCGGGAGAGAAATGGTAATGCAAAGATAAAGCCTCAATTTCAGCGGCGAGAATGCGTGGTGATATTTGCTGTGTTGGCTGCTTTTTTCTGCCTATCGCTCTGTATGACAAGGATTACAGCCAAAAATAGCAATCTCATGTACTTTTTTTTTATCATTCACTTGACGAAGTATTTAATACAATCCGTTCGTATTATTGAATTGCGTGTTTGTCGGTGGTTTTTTTTCTCTCGTCTCTCTTGCCTGTTTGTACCACATCCAAATCACTTGAACACAATTCCAATACGCTACGATGAAGATAATACCGTGTATAACATACTTCGGTTATTAAACACCAATTCGAATTGCTGGCAAACAAGAAAATAAACGAAAACGAGAGAAGCGAAACCGAAATGGATTTCCGTGTAGAGGTGCCATTGAGCAGAAACAAGAATCGACAACATTTATCGCTGGTGTTTATTAATGTCGACTGTGTTTACAGGTGCTTGAAAAGCTCTTCTAATGATATGAAATCAAAAAAGGGGAAAAACTTGTGTCTGTGTCAAACACCGGGTTCCCGCATCGAGATACGTATACACATACACTGTGCCTTAAGAAAAAGTCAACAAACTAGACAGAACAGAGAAGCAGGGAAAAACGAACTCAGAGAAAAAGACAAACATACAAAGATGTATGTGTGCAGAACGTACTATTTCACCTTGTAGTGCAATTCAACTAGCGTTAGAACAAATGTGGTCATTCTTGTTCCAAAAAAGAAGCGCTCTATCCCTCCCTCGTCGTTTTCCATTCAAGCATATGGCCGTTAATAGCGTGTTGTAAGCACATTTACTTAACAGTGACTCAGCTCAATTGACGATAGGTCTTTTAACAACGAGCGAAAATATCTTGCTCTTCTTTATCTGGCTATTGTTGTTGCTTTCGTTCGTATATTTTCCGTTTTTTTAGTGCTTTGCTATTCAGTCACAAATAGACGTAAATTCAAAGTCACAAAGAATTTTTAATTTTCCACAGACGATTCCGCAATCTTCCCTCGTAGTTTCATGAATGGTTCATGGGATATTTTTAGTTCATTGAATTGACACGCTTTTTTATCTAACGTTTTCCCATTGAATTATTATACAGTACATAAATTAAGTACGGTTCCCTTTTTTATATTCCATGCGAATAGTGAAGAAGCCAAAAAAATAAACTACGTAAATAGAATGGAAAATAATTTATTTTGTCCGAAAGTTTCGTTGTTATATTGTTGGTTTTTTTCTGCTGCATGTACTGTACGTGGTATGTTTCTCATTATAAGCATCACAACACGTCGGGTTGGAAGTTTGGGCAGCCAATGACCATCTTGACACATGTATTTCATTGACTTCGACCAATTTATTTTCAACATATGTGATTTTTGTGTGTGTCCCCGCACATATTTACACACGCTTCACTTTATTCCATTCAAATAATTCGTATTTTTATCTATTTTCGCAGGTTTCGTGGATACGCAAGAGGGATCTGCACATATTGACGGCTGGCGTACTGACTTACACATCCGACGAACGATTTCAGGTAAAAACACACAACACACCACTCAAACCACTCACACCACCATATCCATTATGTACGCACATAAATATTGTATAGTGTTTTTGGGATAGGATCATAAACGACCTTAACCAAAATGCCGTTTCATCTTCAGCCAGATGAACGAAGCAAGAGAGAGAAATGGCAAGGAAAAAATGTGTCTCTATGGTATGGAACCATTGTTTGGTCTTCTTCGTTATATCCTCTCTATCTATTTATTTATTGAAAACGTTTTATGGCTGTTGTTGTTGTTGTTGTTCGAATCAAAGACGAACGGAAATGACGGTACAACCGAAAATCAAACGACGACGACTACGATGAGATAGTGCAATTTTCTTTCCTTTTTGTTTTGTATTGTTCGTTGAAAATAGCATCTATAAATTGATATAATTTCATGTTGAGCATCCAATACACATTTTCGACTATATAAATAAAACCAGCGATAAAATATGGCATGTGAACGAGTTAATACTGCGCTTGGCCATTTTATTTGCACTTGTCGAGGATTTTTGTTTTGGCCGACAACGACGATGACAACGAAGCCGTCGACATCTTTTCACATTTGTTCTTCGTCATTCGCTTTTTCGGAAGCTGTTAGCAACTAGCTATTTTTCTCGAAAAAGAACGTAGTTTTTGTTGTGCGCGTCATTTGTTGTGCGTGTTGACACGATAGATAAAAAGTGGAAATAAGTTGGACAGGCGTGAAAGTTGCCGGGTAGCGTTAAGTTCAACGGAACGACTTTCAAATATGTACGTTGGAAATGTCTGAAGACGAGACAAAATTCAAATATTTTCTGTTTGAATGCGGCGCAAATCTGACATCACTCAAGCCGGAGAGGAAAGTGTGCGTTTGTTTCTTTTTCACACTTCACTGACACACGTTGGTCAGTACGCACACACACACACACACACTCAAAGCGAGTGAGAAAAAGGAGTCTGTAGTTTCCATAAAACTAGTGTTGGCACAAGTGAATGCTGCGTGGTCACTGCGAGCGTGAAAATGATTTTCGTACGCATGAAAACGGATATGTTGAGAACGTGCTTGATTAGCAAGCGTCCGGGCCAAGCAACATTTATTAATGCGAAGCAAATGTGTTTTTTTTTCGGTTGTGCCAACTGATAGCATGAGATAGCAAGGAAAAGAAGCCAAAAAAATTTCGCATGCTTCATATTATCAATGTCTCTTTGGGGCAATATTATGATTATGATTTTTATTTGATTTTTGCGTACCATCTCAGGCGCTATGAAGTGATGAAGATCAGTGTACGCAGACATCTCAGCCGGCATTCATAAATGGTATTGCATTGCATGGCAAATGACACACACACAAAAATTGATGATGAGAAAATTCCATTTACTCTGCTTGGTACAAGTGCGCTCTCTTCGACAAACAGTTAAGCTCCTGTGAATCCATGCAGTTGTGCTGTTCGTCAATCGCCTTTGTTTGACTGAGCAAAGTCAATAAATATCGTAGGCGTCTGCAAAGTGTTGCTCTGCTAAGCCGACGGCAACGTTGATTAATACGCTCATCTAAATATCATTGAGACGAAACACATACATTCGAGAATCGAAAGTTTGAATTTTGGCCAGACAGAGAAAAGCACTTTATTCAATATGCGTGCGCGCCTCGTCTCTTGTTCACGGTATTAATCAATTCGCTAAGGCAGAGAAGCGTGCCAAATTCATTGCCAATTTTCATTTTCACCTCAGCGCACATAATCCAATATGCAGTAAAACTTATGTGCTTTATTACTTTCAAAATCTACGTATACACACCGTATAGGAGCTCGTTGTTATTTCCAAATTCGTGTAAATCGAATCTCATCGACACCAACCATGGCTAGTGCACTATAACGTGATTGCTAAAGAATAAGACACTTGGAAGGCATTCGTGATGGCTCGGCTCATGTATAATCTATCCAAGCAATTAAAATTTATATCACCTTTGAGAATGTGTATGTGTGATTTGTGAATGATTTGGTTCATTGGGTCAGAACAAATATTACCAAGTGGAATTGTAACCACAGTGTGAGTTTGTGTGTGTGTGTGTGTGAATAAGATGCCGTTAGGCGGAACGAACGAACAACAACACGTAGTGTACATAATTTATTTGTTGGTCAAGCACAAGCCAAATGTGAGCGCCTGCCAACCATGCTAACACTCTCTCACAAACACATACACACAGTGACTGATTCGTTCTCGAACGTTCTACGTTTCGCTTCAACTCTCACTTGTCTTCATCTCGTAGTTAGACCATTTTTCAAAGACCTAATGTGTGATTTTCATTTTAATACCAACCTATTGCCAACCTTTGTTTCTTCTCTTTTTCCATTGCATGCTGCAGGTGATACGATCGGATGATTCGGAAAATTGGACGTTGCAAATAAAATTTTCGCAGGCACGTGATAGTGGCATCTACGAGTGCCAAGTGAATACGGAACCAAAAATGTCGATGGCATTTCGCTTAAACATTGTCGGTAAGTGAGGTTCAGCTAGGTGATTTTGTTTTATTGCCAAACTTGTGCCCAAATAAATACACACATACTCTTACCAACGCCCTCATGCACTGGTGTAATCGCACCCCCGCGCGTTTTTTTCTCTTGTTGTGTCATATTTACAAACCATTACAGAGCTCAGTGTGCCATTGATTCATTCTGACACATAAAATGGAAAAAGAAATCGATTGAGATTCGATTTTTTCTTCGCAAACAAACGATATATATTGCGCATCGAGGTCTTTCCGGACAATGTTTGGATATAAAAGTGTTTTCTCCCTCGACGCTACTTTCTCTCCTTCACTCGCACACTCTCTCTTTCTTCCAATGTGTTTTTTTCTACGCCCTGCACACAATCAAATTTCTAACCAAATTCAAACAATGCCAATGAAAACATTAATTTAAAATTTCCTTATCTTGTGCAGTGTTGTTTTTTCTGTGTGAACCAATTTATCAGTATGAAGACGCGAGGCGATACCAAAGCCAAACGCAACGAGACAAACAAACTTTCTCTCTGAAAAAAAAAAGTTGCGAATGAAGGAATAACAGAAAAAAAGAACAATCTGTAGACTGATCGTCGATTGCGATCTATAGCAAGAGAGAGAAAAACGAACATGAAAAAGCCATTTTCAAAACGTATCAAACACACAAAAAACGGGATGAAAGCGAAAAGAGACGCTCCTTCGAAATCTGCATTGAAATAATCAATGGGATTTCGCTTACTTTGTCGATGCTAACAAATGTTTGTAAATCCTTTTTTCACTTCGGGCTCTCTCTCACAACCAGCGCAAGCACACTTTCTCACACAAACAAACACACATACAGTAGACGTGTGCATCAAAATGAGATATACATCAGTAAATGGTCTATTACATTTGTTCGAATCGACGAATTTCGAATTGGCTGGATTCAGGGCTGAAACAAACAAGCAACAACAAAAAAATTTACGAAACACACAACTCTCATTTGGCCACTTTGAATGTGAAGTTGTGTTCTCGACGAGCATTGAGTCGCGGTTTTTCAATTGAAACGGACCCTGTCTGAAGCATTATTCAGCGCAATAAGAGTCGGAGAAAAAAACCAAAGTCGATTTCGCTAGGGCAAAAAAAGAGCGGTAAACAGAAGGGATACAAAATCGGTGCACACACAGTGAGAAAGCGAGAAAGTGGATCTTACCGTCAATTTAACAATTTATTTTCATTGTTTGAAGCGAAATTGCTTTTAAAAGCGTCGAGTGTACAAACAATGCGTATCGACCATTGAACGTAAATGAATTAGGTAGCTCAAGTACGCTGAAAGACAATACCAAAACGGACAGACGCAAAAAATCAACTTGTTTTACAATAGCAAGAGAAAAAAACCGGATCTGAACTTGTTCTTCAATGCAAAGGGAAAAAAACGAATCAACTTGATTTTCAATAGAGAAAAAACGAGTCGTGTTTAAGGTGCTGTTTTGGCTTCATTTAATTAAAGTGACTCAACGTTGTGCCAATGCAACAGCAATTATTCACCTCAATCTAGCAGCTCAACGTCACTCTTTTTTGGCACAAAATGAAATGTGGAACATTATTTCAACAAATTTTTAAACTAAATAATTGATGTTTCAAAGCAAATATTTCATTGCATCACACGGTTTTTCATTTTCTCGTTCCGCTCTAGCTTGACTATAATGAGAATTGTATTTATTTTTCAGTAGAAAACTTCGTTAAGCACATATCAACCTAGTTTGTGTCGATTCGCGGGAAAAAAAGGAGAGAGGGAGAGAAAGCTCAGTAACACACAATGTAACGAAGCCATGTATAAAGTAACAAATTAATTAGTGTGTTTCTATGTCATTATATCGTTTAAAAACGTCAAGTTGACTTAGTGCAAAGGAGAACGAGAACGAGAGCAAGACTGAAAGAATGGGAGTGAGAATGAAGATAGAGTAAGTGGTGGGTGAGAGAGAAAGGAGTCAACGTCAAGCAGGAAGCCGGAAAGAATTTGTGCAATGACTCGGTGAACGAAGTGGTGGCTCTGCATTAAATAGCTAAAATCATTGGACTACATGGAAGAAGACCGAGCGCGATCTGATATGCATGTGAAAAATGACTGGAGACAGTGCGATATTTAAATTTGATTTGCTGCGTTGCATGCTTGAAGAAAGAAAACCTTGTTAGAGTGCAGCTCCAGCATCAGCACACTGCTAGCGATTGCAACACAATTCGCACATTTTTTTTTCTTCTCTGTGCCCCATTGTTTGTTTCTCTGCTCATTTCAAGCGGAAGAGCGTGCGAGAGTGCAATAGTGCGAATGAGAAAAATTCCATTCTAACTAATTAGACGCAGTGTTTGGAATGGGACCGAAATCCCATTAATTCTGCGGCAAACACTTGACCTCGTTTTGTAAGCGTTCACGTTCATCATGACACAAAGTCAGCATGAAAATGGCAAACGCATTTTCAACATAAATCGAAGCGTTTGCATTCAATTAGGCTAATTACATATTTTCTTGTTTATTCGAGAGGCGGAGAGAGAGAGAGAGAGTGAAAAAAAAGAGTGAAAAAAAGAGGGAGTGAGTGTGTATGGGTAACATGAGCAAACCGCAAAACTACAACTTTTATGGCACTGTAGAGATTTTTCTCTACCCCAGCTCAATTCCAATGTATGATAAAATGTACATTTGTTGTGCGTTGCCATTTTTCTCTTTTTTCCAGAGGCAAAAGCGGTTGTTGTTGGTCCAACGGATATATACGTTAAGATGGGAAGTGAAGTGGTGCTGACATGCATTGTAAGCCAAGGACCACATGAGCTTGGGACGATCTACTGGTATCGAGGTGAGTATTCAAATGTTCCAAACTAATTTTGCTGGTAGCCACAGAAAATTTAATGAAAAATTAATTAAAATGATACCGTTTTTTGTCTCCTTCCCTGTCTCTCTTGCCCTTCTCATTGGCCCGTTACTTTGTCATCTGGCTGTCAATTAGATTTGACCATGTTGGATGTGCCAGCGGAGTTTGAATCGAATGACGTCGACTATTCGCCCCGGATAACTGTTGACACCAAATGGACAGATGCATTGCGCTCAAGGTAATAACTACCCTTTTGCTTTCTCCACAATACCTCACCAATGTTTCTCGATTTTAATCTCGTTCGAGGTAGCTGCTTTTTTCTCAGTTTTTTTTTTCGTTGCATTGTTTGGTTTTACGAATTTTCATATAAAGTTCTTTTCCCCCATATCTTCGGTATATACGTAGCAATTGTTTTTATTTTGTGGATACAAAAAAAACTTTTCAATAGATAGATTTATCAAAGCGATACACAATAGTAACTCTTGCAGAAAGTTTATCCTCTGAACAGAAAAACAGGAAAAATCAATTACAGTTTTTTTTCTCTCACTCGCTTTCACTCGGATGCAACTTGTAACTTGGATTGTGTTGTAACTGACCCTTTTTTTCTCGTTCTCTTGTTTCTTCTTCTCTTTTCCTTTTTTTTCTCTCTCTCTCTCTCTTTGTCGTTTTCATTTGGAAATTTGTCTTTTTATATGGGAAATTCGGTGGGTGCACAAAAATCGATGTCATGTTTAGATTGAAAATATCGGCAGCAAGAGTCACGGATTCAGGCAACTACACCTGTACACCAACGGCAGCTGAAGGTGCCAGTGTTACCGTGCACATTATTAATGGTAAGTGTCAATTCTCTCGGAATTTACTGTTTATTCATTTACGCATCACGAGCCAAAAGACAAAAAAAAAACTAGGAAAAACCAACAACAACAATGGAAGCGAGAGAAAGCTCATTCCGAATAAATAAGCTGATTGACACGCGCATAGAAAACATAAAAAAAAACACTCACTCAAACGAGCGCCAAATGAACGAACGACACAAAAAAGCACTGTATGGCATATAAAACAATGGCCAACGAAGCGAAGAATGGATTGCCTTTAGACAGTGAAATGGAGAAGCGTGCATGGGGGAGAGGGCGATAGAGTGGGAGAGAGAGAGGGAGAGAGAGAGAGAAAATTGCCCGAAACTGAAATAACACCAGAGAGTTCAGTTCATTTTTGACAGTTCGGTTTTTTCGGCCAGCCGAAAATGGAAAAAAGTTCATTAAAAGTAACAAAATGTGTGCGCTGCTACTGCAGCAGTAGCAACACCAGCAGTGTGATAGCAATGTGTGTTGGATGGGCACACACGATGGACACATTCACCCACGTGGAATGTACATGTGATTGTAGCAGCGCGCAAACATGAGATAAAGAGACAATCACATTGCTTGTGCAAGCATTTGTATTCATTACAACACCACCTTTAATTCCGTTTATTCTGCATTGCGTTTTTTCCTGGTTTCGCCACGACTCGCCACACGGTTTCATTTGTGTGTGTGTGTGTATGTGTGTGTGTGTGTTAGAGAAAGAGAGCAATATTGGAGACGATATTCGACAATGATGGGGCACATCACACAGCATTTCCATAAATGATGAACAATGCTGAAAAAAACTCTGGATGATTGTGTAATTATGTATCTGCATGATAAGCATGTGATTCGGATGTTTTGTATTGTGTCGCAATTGCGAGGAAAATGACTCGTTTTTTTGTTCAGTGCGATTTGGTGAGAAGAGAAAAAAACACACAGACACACATAACTCACATTCGAGCTAATTTATTCGAAAGTTGTTGCTTGTGCAACGAAAATGAGACAAATGGCGACAATAAATTATTCATAATAATGATAGCATGTATCGAGAACTTTGTATGTGTGTATGTGTCGCTCATAGTACATAAACAAAAGGATCATAATCTCGGAGGGGGAGTTCAATCGACATTGTGCAATAGGAAGCGAGCGAATGAGCGAAGGAAACTTTTGGTCCAGTCACGAACAAATTGTGTTTGTTTCCCGTTGTTCGTTGCAAGGCCACTATCAACACCACTTCGTATAGTGCGGGCCGTATGAATTCACTGTACATGGATACGAAACTAGTAAATTTATTCATGGCGGAAATTTCTCAATTCAATCTACATTTGAATGCGATTGTATTATCATTTCAGTGGTTTGTTTTCAAAGCTTCACTCTGGGGAAGGAGAGCGAAGGGAGAACGCGGTTCTTTTCACCACATTCGTCTTCATCATTCGTATCAAATTATTATTGCAATGACCGATGTATTCGGTCGTCAGTGAGCGTTCATATTTTTTTGTTGCTTACCATTGCGACTCCAGTTTTTTCTTCTCTTTGTGAAAATGTCAACGACTCGAATCTCCATTGGCATATAGCGCGCGCACATACACAATCATAAAAAAGCGAGTCGTTTTGTTTCCACTTTCACATTATCACATTCGCGAAGCGCATTTGAGATTCATGGCATACATATAAAAGCCAAAACAAATGACTTCCTATTTCTTTTGTCAGATTCTTTTATTGTTTCGATTTGTTGCAGAGAGACACACGGGAATAAATATGCCTAGCATAGAAACGACGGTAGAGACAGTGCAGGAGTGAGAGAACGAACGGTGCGGTTGAATTAGATCCTCATCACACGGAAATTGCTTGCGCAGTGTTAAACCGCTCTTCGGCAACCGCCCGTTCTATCATTCGTATTTGGAAAATCACCAGGACGGGCCGAAAGTGTTCAGTTTGCATTCAACTTCCACTCGTTCGCACATATTTACATTTTCGAACACGCACTTTTTGATTGATTCTGATTGTTAATTGAGCCATTTAGACGAAGCATTTACGACGGCCGAGCCGAGCTTTTTTTCCACTCTCCCACTCTTTCTGCCTGATGTACGAAGCACTTCGTCAATTTTTGCGTGATGAATGCATTGCAGTATTTTATGCTCGTTTGCGTGAAATCAACGTCCAAACGACCAATGTGCTTGCTGTGCCGAGAGTGTGGAGCAGAGAAAAGAATGTGTGGAGTGTGTGTGTGTGTGAGAGAGAGAGATAGTGTGTGAGCGAAGCGAAAAAAAACGCACGCAATCTATCGTACAAAGCTATTCGCATTACATTTAATGAAACTATTAAGTTCGACACGGGCATTCCGGCCAGAAGTTTTTCGCCATGTCAAACGGTATTTATTACACGGAAACGGATTCTAAGCACGCAAACCCCGTCGTTTATATCAAAAGATTCAATTCGTTGGCGACGAATTGGGGAGATTTTTCTTCCATTCTCCCGTCCCCAATCACCAAAGGTGTTTTCGTTTGATATGAGTTGTTGAGCACACCGTTTGTAATTCGTTGTCGCAATTTTTCCATCAGGAAATTCGATTTTAATTTGACCATTTTCAATGTTGTTTCGTTTTGTTATCGTTTATAGGTGAATCTCCGGCTGCCATGCAGCGAGGTTGTGCAAATGCCAACATCGATATGTCGATTGTGTTGTACATCGTTACATTGTCAATGCTGTTACAGCAACTAAACCGGATAACACATGGCTACGGTGTATCGTCAGATGTGATTCGATGGTTCAGCTCAATAACACCAAAAAAGACAATAGCATCTTCGTTCCATTGTCAACAACACCAAATTGAAGCGGATTGTTCTAGATTGCAGCCATCTGCAAATTCTTATCGAACAGCTGCAGAAAATCGGATCACAGTAAACAGTGTCGATTGTGTCGCTTGCATCGTGAGATGAAAGCCAAACAGGCAAACACGTAACAATGGATCGTCTTTTTTGGTAAATAAGGTTAAAATTGTGTCTTGCAGAAAGACAACTTACGAAAATTGTGTTTAAAGTGAAATTGGATTTTGAATTTAATTTAAGAACGATTTTTTTTTTGTGTGAAGAACAAATGATAATGAAACAAAGAAGAAATGACCGGAAACAATGTTTCAGTTTATAAGGGAAGGAGAGATGTAAATAATAAGAACTCTTTGATTAGTCCAAAAACAAAACTAAAAAAAAAAAAATCTATTTCTATATATACGATGATATTAATTCTCAGTACCGTCGATGCAACCTGTGATTGGCAAACCAATATGAAAAGACAAAAGAAAAATCTAAATCAATTTCTAGCTGAAGCACGAAGCACATAAAACCAACAGAAAAAAAATTACTTAATTTAGATCGATTATCTTTCATTAACTCAAATGAATTACATTCTCGCAATCTTTTCATTTTCAACCCGAGCGGAAATAACTTTAAACAGTTAATTAAATGCTCATGAATCAATTTGGATCAAGGTTACATTCATTCCCTCTACTTTAGCCAACATTGCACCGGTGAATAGAAAAAATGCACCGAGTGAGCAAAAAAGTTTTCCAATGAAACGAAAAGAAAAAACGGAAAAAAAAACGGCGAGAGAGACAGAGAGCAGCACACGAGAAGTGGGAAATAAATAGCGGAAATCCCATTAGTAACATTAATCATGACGAAAAAAAACCAGAAAATTAAATTAAAAGTGAAAATAGATAAAAAAAAACCACACATACACAGAACAAGAACTATTTTATGAAGATAAAAAAAACACACACACCCAAATTTTTGCATGCACATTTATGGTGATGTCATGGCCACACATTATTATCATTGTGACAGTAAATTTTAAGTAAATGTAAAACAGAATGTTCATTGCTAAATCAAATAAATCACTTGGACTAGGGGAATAGGGTGAAATTAATTTAGTAAAATAGAACCACAAACTTTTACCTTGATTTAACATCATGTTTAAATATTGATATGACCTCGGTATTAAATGTGAACTTTATGTTGCATTGAGGCAAAACAGAGAAGAGAAGAACAAAACAACCAGAAAAATTTCTAACAAATCCGAAGAAATGTCCTCGCATACATTTCAAAGTTTAAGCGCTAAACACATTTCCTTATATGTTACTTGCTCGGCTTTTGCAAGTGGGCATTTGAAGATTGCGGTTGTTGTCGGTTACATCACCCTCGAGATCATACATACAAACAAACACACGGAGAAGTAACAAAAGCGTCAGCGGAATGTGAGTGATACAAATGCGATGCCATTTTATTTAAGAGCGCTGCTGCATATTCTGCAAAAGTGGAACATGTTCAACGTTTTGACGTCAGTTAATGAAATTCTTTGATGAAATGGAACGGATGCTGTTTCATTGTATTTCATTACTCACAATGTTTGCACACAATGGGGAAAATCGACGACCCGTGCCAAAACAGGGCGGCGGCGACTAAACGGAGCAAAAGAGAATGAGCAAGTGGACGAATGAGATACAGAGAGCAAGAGAGAGAGAGAGTGTCGCAAGTAAATGCGCTCTATTAAATACGTGATTAACGTATTTCAATTAGATATTCAGTTTTAAATGTAAATTTTATCAAAAACCATTAGGCACTAATATACTCTTATAAAGGAAATATTTGCATGTCAACGAAGGAGAGAGAAGGTAAGCAGAGCATGGAAGGAGATACTTTTAAAATACGATTTCTGTTGAATGTTACAATTAAAACTATGTAGGTTAACGACAATCGAATGAACCAAAAAAAAAACTCACCGGAAATTGACTTGGATTCTTGTAATGAATTTTCCCACGGCTACGATGACGCCCAAGGATAAAAAACATCGTTGATTTAATTCAATGTGATGGTGCATTGCGCACCGTGCTATCAACTGCTTATCACTGCGTAAACGATTATTTTCTTTCTTTCGTTGTTCTTCTTTCAAATGAAACGGCTTTCGAAAATAAATGTGACGCATGTAATTTTCCTAAATGCATTTTAATTGTTGAGTGGGCGAGAAAAAGGTTCTTTTTTCTCGCATTTAATTCTCAAATTTTAGCATTTAGTGAGTGGGAGCGAATGGAAGAAAAAGGAAGAAGAGGGGAAAAACGTGATTCGTCCGTTGATTAATTGGCGCATTTTCATGGAAATGATCTTTTTGTTATCCGTGTGGGCACATTTAGCTCAAACACGCCCGCATACAAATGAAAATTACATTTATGGTAATAATAATTGGTGCTCACACAGAAGTACTTTTACAACATGCACGACTTGTATTGGTAATTTTATATGTATTGTATCGGTTCTGCTGTGCGATATTACAACCAATACTACTTTGTGACATAGTTTACTAAGTAGTTAATAGTGGTGATCTGACAAATTACCAATACAAGTCGTGCATGTTGTAAAAGTATTTCTGAGTGAGTGAAATTTTTGAAGAATCCAATTAATCCAAGAAATGAGTTCTTGTCCCTTTCCCTGTGTATGTGCGTTATTCCTTCTGTTTCTAACCTGCACAATTACGAATTCACATCATTCACGAGCACAATCCAAAGACACTCACACACAGAGAGAGAGATAGAAAGAGAGACAGAGACAGACACACAGAGGACTCTATATAACCCAAAGAAAGAATTATAATTAATAAATTCAGACAATTTTTACTTTTTTTCCCTTATTCTTCCTTTTTTCCGTTCTATGGCTCATGGTGTTTTTATGTTCGCGTCAGCGAAAATAAAAACGACCAGAAAGAAAACAAGATCCTCCATTTGGTAAACGAAGAAAAAAATGAGAATAAGAATGAAATTATATGTATAAAAATTAGCATAGAATTTATGTAAGAAAAAGGAAGATTTACCGAGATAATGGCAAAGAAAAATGAGCAAGAAAGCAACAAAAAAAAAACGAAAAGAGAGACACACACACAGATAGCTTGAATGAAACACAAAAAAATTGTAATGACGAAAAAGAAATGCGAATGTAATTAAAATATGAAAACAAACAGAAAAACAAAGCTCGTGTTTTTAATTGTTATACGTTTTCTTCGGCATTTCACATTGTGCCGAAATCATATTAATAAAAGCACTGATACTTGATACGGCCAGATGAAATTTGGCACAAGTATTTTTCAGTTTGGTTGTCATTGCTGGCGGCGGCGACAACGGCAATGACCATGGCAGCAACGATGAACGGTGGCCGATTGAGAGTTCAAGAAAATGTAAGTACCAAATATGCTTTCGTTGTAATCATTTTTCGTTTGGGTCACAACGTGCCTCGTCACGTGTATGAATATTGTTGTCGAATACCGTTGCTTTGGATACTTTGCAACGAATATTTTAAGGTTCATCACAAGTGGAGAGAGAGAGACAAATATAAACGATCATAAGGGAGCTCCCTTGTGAAGCTCTCTTTCCATAGAAGGACGAGAGTGTAAGAAACAAGAGGAAAAAAATCACAAGGCAAATCAACACTTAAACAGAAAAATGTTGAATGGAATCATTTTTCGGGCCACTTCAATTAAAAATTTAAATTGACATTTAACTTTGTCTTATCTATCGCGCACACAGAAACGAAAGCAACACAAACACAAATTGTGAAAGAGTGAGCAAATGCTTTGCTCGATTCTTAATTAAACATGCATTTTTTACACGTACTCTAGAGAAGCAAATATTGCGTGCATTTGTCAGCCTTTGATGAAAACATTTATTTAAACCGTCTCCTTGAAGCACTTCTCATTCTCCGCTGCCCTCTCACATCGTTCTACCCTTTTGTCTTTCTCATCATCTTTCAAGTGGCACTTCATGAACGTCTTGCAAATGTTTAAAATGTTGCGCTACGTCATTGTTGTTTTGCAATTTGTGTATATTTGCCGAACACTCTTTTCCAAAGCATACAAGAGAATAAGTGAATAGAAGCGAGAGAGAGAGAGAAAGGAAGCGGGAAATTTGCTGGCCAAGCATATTTTGCTTTCTTGCTAAATTGATGATTTGATATGCAATGGAAAAGGGAATGAATTTATTCGAAGAAATTTGAAATTCCATCAAAAAGCGCAATTACCGTTGCGAAGAAATAAATTTTTCTATTCAAGCGAATCGACACTTGAGAGCGTTCACTTTGTTGCTTTCGTAGAAAAATCGCTGAAATGGATACTTTTTCACCAGAGAAACAATCGATGGAGTGCGTGACGGACACAAGACAGAAGACGAAGACAGAAAAGAATAGGCAAATGGCAAAAATCCATTTGCAACCATATTATTTTTCAATTTTCGTAATGGAAATTCATTTGCACGCATTAATAATTACTCACTTTCGATCGGTGAGTGCGAGAGTGTGCGCGAATACTAGTGCTGATCAATCATCTAATTAGATTTACCATCGACACGTCGTTAATTGCTGCAGAAATTCAGCTTGAATATTGCGATCGAGAGAGAAGAAAATGTGCTCACTTTGATTATACAGTGTGTCTTTTTGGTGTTCTTCTCTTCTCAAGGGTCAATTTGTTGGATTTGTGTGTGTGCTGTTCGTTTTTTGTGTGTTATGCGGCGTTTTGTCGCCGGAAGAACGGTTTGTCCCATTTAAAACATTGCCGATTCCAACTGTTGGGGTAAGTACTCGGTGTTCTGGAGTTCATAAAAAAAACGGGACAAGTTGAAAGAATGAAAAGTGTCAAGCGTCGTCAAAGAAATGCTGCGTGCTTTTACACCAATTGACCTAATCATTGGAAATGGCAGCGTGTGGCAGTAGCAACAGCAGACGCAAAAAAGGAGAATCTGTATATAGCTATTATGTCTCTCTCTCTCTCTCACTCTCTCTCTCTCTGTGCCTTTCTTTAATTATTACGAGGAAAAGAGGAACAACGACATCATCAAGAGGAAAAAAGAGACAAAAAAAAACGGAAAATATGAGCCATAATTATCTCCATCTCGTCAGCATCGCGTTTTTGATATCTCCGTTTCTCCCCCTTCTCTGTATCTGGAAGGTAAGCTTTTTGATTGAAATGGAAAAGAAATGAAAAGAAGACGAAAAAGTGAGCTAAAGCATTGATGAGGCTTGGAACATTATGTCTGCTCGTCATTAACGGATGAAAGAAGAATGAATAAATACAAGAGAAAAAAAAACGGCATTCAACTGATGTGAAATGACCCACGAACAAAATTCGATTCCGAAAACCACAAAGTGCCAAGTCCTCCTCGATATATAAGCAGGCATTTTTTTTATTATGATTGACAAAGCATTTAGCTTATTTTGAAGGGAAAAAAAGGAAAATAGAAATCGAATAAGCTGACGATGATTCGGCAAGAATATGTTAAGCAACTGCGTGCTGCTCGTTAAAATTGTGACCAAGCGTCCTTTTCAATTTGGCAATTAGAATATTTATAGTCATTTAGCGTGTAAACCACTAATCATTTGTGCAGAAACACACAACGATGGGCGTACGTTCAGCCGGACCGTATGATACAGCAATCAAACCCGAGAATATCATGAACCATGTTTCATAAACAGGAATGTAATAATAAACCATGATATTTAATAAGGCTGAAGGCGACGCGAATTTGCCTATTGAGAGCCCTCTCGCCAACGTATTTTTTTCCATGCCATGTGATTTCCGTCGAACCATGATATAGTTTCGAATAACACCGGTGAAGCTTCATAACATTAAGTTTTGATGGATGGAAAGTGATGCCAGCAGAAAAAAAGATGAAAACAATGTTTTCGATGGACAAAAACTAATACATTTTTGTTGGAAAACAATCGAAAAATGTCCGCTAACTATGGTTACATGGAGTTTAGTTGGAGCGTATGAAACAAAGGCAATTTTTTTGGTTTTCTGTCTTGTTGTCCAAAGCGAGAAAGAGGCTCATGTTGTTGATCAAAAACTTGTCGTTTTTCGGGCTGACGTCACTGATTTTTCACATTTCATTTCACTAGAGTCGCCAAGTGGCCGATGAATCGGCCAAAAATAAACACTTCTTTCTTTTTAAATTGATTGAATGGTTGAAAATTTGAAAGGCACGTGTCCAAATTATTTAAAACCAACTTTATTAATTTCTCACAAATTGAATAACAAACACAGAGAAAAAAATAATACAATGAAAATTTGCTATTTTCAAAACGAAAAATTCGATAAACTTTGGGAAACCCGGGACCCGGAAGAAGGTGTTCTCTGACATGCTCTAAACTCATGTCAAACTTTACATATGTGAATCCTGAAACGCATTCTGCACATCTACTGTTCACGACCATTCAAATGGTACCAGTGGCATCAAAATAAGTTGGGTATAAAATGGTTAAAATGGTACCAAAACTTTTTGGGCAAGCGCATTAATATATAAATTGTGACGCGACAGAGAGAATAATTCGAAATCGATAAATAATTTAGGTGGATTCGAAAGCACACATAAAATACACAAGTTTTATGTGTTTACACGGAAAAAGGCGCCACTTTATTAGTTTGGATGAGAGAAAAAAAGGAAAAAAATGTTCGAGCAAACACAATGGTACCGAAAAAAAACTGAAAGAAGAGAGGAGTAGGAGAGGGAAAGAGGAATGGTAAGAGAAAAAAATATTTTCGCTATTTTCATTTCGACATTTTGCTGTTATATCTTTATTATTCGCACGGATCTGCGCTCAAATCATAATTCCGTATGAATCTAGCGTACATAATGTGTTTTGGCTACGGCTATGGCTCGGAACTCCGAAGTGCTTCAAGCATCTCACGCGCTCATTAATAATGTGCGGCTTGGGGATGGATGCTTGCAAACAATGTCAATACATTTGTCGGTCGGGATAGAAGCAAAAGAGAGCAACCGGGGCGAGTGACTGAGTGAGCAAGAGACAAAATACCAATGGTGTACCTGAATTTGTTGGGAGCATTGTGCGTGAGCTACCATAATAAAGCACAAACACACTCACACACACACAGGACCGTATCATTAAATATTCACAACTCACGCATATTCAAGAGCCAATGCGCCGAGTCACCGGCACCCATTCGAGAAATTATTGATATAATATACAAATAAATATAAATATCTAGGGGGAAAGAACTATTGGTATATTTACTTCATTGACACGTATTGAAAAATATTCACAGGCATTTGCACTGCATTCCGTAGTATTATTGTTGTTGTTTTCTTCTGTTGCTTCGTCTCGTTTGTGGCGAGCAGGAATGACAGTTGCAAATACGCACATTTTATTGACCATATTTGCATGCATTCGCAGCTAGCTATTCAGCGCATTGACACGCATTGACGCGTATTGATCCAAACTCGGTAGAATATGCGATTATTTACAATATTTATATTTTCATTTACTCAGTTCTTTCCCCCTAGATAAATATAACTGTATTCATATCGTGTTCCATGACAGACGATCGTACCTTTGTGATAGAAGCAGGTGCGCATTTCAATCTCTGTTGCAATGGCAGTAGCTGTAGCAGCAGGTTAGACTATATCAAATGTTCTTGCTTTTTTTTACGGTGGCAAAGAGCAAGAGCGAGAAAGATAGATAGAGAAAGTACAGCAATGCGTCTACTTTGTTGTCTTCGTCGTTATGAGTGTCATTTGGCATTGCTGGTTTTCTTCATTGAATGTTAATGGAAGGTATATAGGAAATAACGTGATCTGAAAGCATAACATATACACTGAATGCTTCAACGATATCAGTCAAACTAAATTCGCTTTTGCCATCATTTTTCTCTACCTTTTTTCGGTCATTTTTACATCGAAATGTTGTCGCTCGGTTGTTGCTTTTTTTTCCTCCTCCAGTTTTGATGGTGAAACATCTTTTCGAAATGTTTTCTTCTGAAAACGTTTCGTTTTATTTTTTCATTATCATTTTTTCTTTGTTTTTCGTTCTCTCGTTGTATTTGTTCCAGCATCGGTCGGAATCCATTTACATAATTTGTGTCTTTTGTCACGAATCAATGCGATTGAAGTGACAGGCTTTTGTTTCGTTTCCATTAGACTGTGAAAGATACAGGTAAAAAGACAATGGCTTCGACAATCGCATCAG